GTAAAATCCTGCTGTTTGAAAAGCAATAGCATTCTGTCTCCTCTGTCACAGTATCCCAGAATCAGCACTTTGTCCATCTGGCAAATTCATACAGGTTCTTGAAGGCTTTGCCCAGAGTATATCTCTGCTGGGAAAAAGTTAGAGGCTTCTCCCCAGTAATTTTGGACATACTCTTTTAGGTTTGTTTTTTAATTATAAAAGTAATGGCAATTTGACACAATTTTTACATCACATCCACTTCTTGGCTTCTTTCTACTTTAGAAAGCCACCATGGACAGGATGTTCACTGCATCATTGTTTATTACAGTGAGAAACAGGAGATAACCTGGTGTCGGTCAGATCAGCTAGGACTCAGCAAACGAGGATGAGCGGACACAGCAAGGCGCAGCTGATTGTGCACAACACTGATGCTTACATAACAAGAACAAAACCACACAAAACAATACTAAGTATTTTCTACAAGGACATGTGTATGTGAGTGCATAGAAGATGGAGGGGTTTGTAAGTGAATTCAGTGGTTCTTTCTGCAGATGGGAGACACGGCAGTATTCCCTTTTGATAAGATGCTCTCGTGTGCTTCTTTTTCTTGGCCGTGTGCGATGGCGCCTCACACCTGTAATCCCAGCACTTTGGGAGGCGGAGGCAGGAGGATTGCCTGAGCTCAGGAGTTTGAGACCAGTCTGGCCAACATGGCAAAACCCCATCTCTACTAAAAATACAAAAAATTAGCTGGGAATGGTGGCAGGTGCCCGTAATCCCAGCTACTCAAGAGGCTGAGGGAGGAGAATCACTTGAACCCAGAAGTCAGAGGTTTCAGTGAGCCGAGATCATGCCATTGCATTCCAACCTGGGCAACAAGAGCAAAACTCTGTCTCAAAAAAACAAAAACCAAAATACAAAAAGACAAAAAAACTCATTTTATTTCATGTCAGTGCTGAGAGCTGGGAGCCCAGGCAAGAGTGCAACACCCTCCCTGCCCCCAATCCCGGCAGCTGGTGAAGGAATCCTTTCAACAGTAGTTTTCCTGGGCCAGTCAATATTGAAAACAAAGCTTTTAAATGTCTTGCTGGGAGCCGTTGCCAGCCTCCGCTCCCCTACAGCTCAGGGAAGTGAGGGTTGATAATGGTATGCTGTCAGGCCTGTCTGTCTGCCCCGCAGTGTTACCAGGCGCCTCTGAAATAATTCTGGTTGCATCCACAAGGTTTTTGTTTAAGGTTCAAAGTGAGCAAATGCAGAGGTCTCCTTGAGTTCTTTTGTATGAGCTGGGGGGATGGGCGTGTGTCTGTGTGGGGGAAAGTCAGGGCTGTGGCAAAGAAATGATTTTCTGAAGTCAGTTCAGTATTGTTTGAGCCATTTCAAATAGTACATTGTTTAAAGTGTCTTTTAAAGGTCCAGGAAAATGCTAAAAAGCAAAAATCATCCACTATTCTGCCACCAAGAGGGGACCACTGTGTATTTCTGATGTATTTATTTCCAGACTTTTCCATGTATTGGGGCATGAAAGGAGTTACTGGAGTGATGGAAATACTCTGTATCTTTGTAGTGTGGTGGTTGCACGACTGTGTACATCTGAATTTTACAGTGTGCAAATTGCAGCTTATTAAACTTGACATGAAAAACACACGAAAAGCACAGTGGAAAGGCCGCCATTGGGATCTTTCTTTGCGCAGGAACTGAGCTTTGTAAACAGCATGGCTGTGGTTTCTTTGCAGACACTGCTCCAGAGGCTGCCCTATGCTCCCTCAGGATGGACTATAAGGTGCATTGTCATCCCTCACAGATGCCCACCAAGGTGGTTTTCATCTTTTCTCCACAAAAACAATACTGTGAACGGTTTGCTCCTTCTCTTGAGTGATTACTGGACCAAGGAGTATACATATTTTATAAGCTCGCGATATTGTCAGACCATTTTTTGGAAAGTTGTGTTATTCTATCCAGAGCCTAGAACTGTCTGGGAATGTTCTTGGGCCATTATTTTCAGTGTCATAAAGCTTTTGGGTTTTTAGGGGTCTTGGTTAGTGGATTTGCTTAGTGTTCAGACATCAAACTTTACTTCTATTAAAAATAGGCCTGCTGTCAGGCAAAGATATTTCTTAGATACAACCCCAAATGCATGATCTGAAAAAGAAAAAAATGGAGTGGTGAATTGGACCTTCATCAAAGTTCAAAATGTTTGCACTTCAAAAGATATCATTAAGAAAATAAGAAGACCAACAGGAGACCAGGAGAAAATATTTATAAAACATACGCCCACTGAAGGACTTACATTCAGAATTTACAATGAACTCTTACAACTCAGCAGCAAGAAGACAAACAATTCAATCAAAAAGTGGGTGAAAGCTACAAACAGACAATTCACCAAAGAAGTTGTATGGATGACCAACATACACATAAAACAATCTCAGTATTCTTAATTGTTAGGGAAATATACTTGAAAACTATGATGAAATACTATATCACACCCACGAGAATAGCTGTAGTGAATGAAACAGACAATAAATCTTGTCAAGAATTGGAAGAAACAGGAAACTTCACGTTGTGGATGGGAACATAAAATGATGCAGCCACTGTGGAAGACAGTTTGGCGGTTTCTCAAGAAGTCAATCACAAAACAACCATATGACCCAACTATTCCACCCCTAGACTTCGACCCAAGAAAGATGAAAACACATCTATACAATGACTTATGTGGGAATGTTCAGAGCAACATTGTTCATAAATGTATAAATGCCCAAGCTAAATGCCCATTAACTGATGAACAGATAGGCAAACTGTGGTCTGTTCATAAAACAGAATATTATTCAACCATGAAAAGGAATGAAATACTGACACATGCCTCAACATAAATAAACCTCAAAAACATATTGCCAGGTGAAAGAAGCCAGTCACAAAGCCAGAATACATACAGTCTGACTTGATTTACAAGAAATATCTAGAAAAGGCAAATTTTTAGAGACAGAAAGATTTGTGATGCCTAGGACTGGGAGTTGGAACAGAGATTAATTATAAATGTTCATGAAGTTTTATTAGGGTGATGAAAATGTTCTACAACAAATTTATGATGATGATTACCCCACTCATTAAAGTTACTGAAAATCATTGACTTCTACCCTTGAAATGGATGGATTTTATGAAATAAAACTTGCTTCAATAAAGCTGATAAAAATGGGGAAGTGGCAAGAAGAAGGTGGATGTAGCTGATTCCCAGTATGCCTCCAGCTGCCAGAGTCTTGGGATAACTTCAGGAAGGCCTCTGTATAACCTGTGGGAGCTCAGGGACACCCCACCCAGCAGAGGAAGGAAGCAGGGATTGTTCAGTGACCTTGAACACCTCCCGCCCCTGGATGCTTGCCCCTCTGCTTACCAGAGATGCAGTCCATGTCTCCATCCCCTTGAAGTGGGGCCAGCTTCATCACTTGCTTTGGTTAATGGCATGTAGCAGGGTGACATGGCACTGGTTCCACCCCTAGGTCCCAAGAGGCCTTGCAGCTTCTTCTGTGCCCTCTGGGATCCCTGCTCTGAGAATGCCATCTGGGGAAGCCAGTCCAGGCTATGGGGAGATGAGGCACCACATAGAAGGAAGCTGTTCCACCATTGGGGGTGGGGGAGCCCATGGAGGGGAACCAAGGGGCTCACCGACAGCCAGCAGCAACTGCCAGACATGCAAGTGAGGCCTTCTGGCACCTTCCAGACATGTCGGTCCTCCAGCTGAGCACAGTGCAGGGAATGAACCCAGGTGAGGCCAGCAGAGAACTACCCAGCTGATGCATAGAGTGGTAAGAAATAACAAGTGTTTGTTGTTTGATGCCATTAAGTTTGGGGATGGTTTTTACTTAGTAACAGATAACTGAAACAGACGCCCCCCTTTCCTTTGCTTCTGAACTGCCAGCTCTGAAGCCATCTTCATTGAGGTAGGGTTGTGGACCCACCATTCTCTCACACCTAAGACCCTCACTTCATCCTGTGATGCCCTGGGTCTTGACCCAGACACCATCTTCCTCAGGGCAGTGGTTCCATGTTCTGGTTGTGCAATAGAATCTTGGTGGCAATTTAAAAATATGGCTTCTGTTCCTATTATTTATTGCATAACAAGTCACCCCAAAACTTAGTGGTTTAAGAGAGCAACAATTTACTTTGCTTATAAATCTGCAGTTTCTCTTGATGGAGACAGCTTGTTTCTGTTCCTCAGTGTCAGCTAGGGTGGCTCAAAGGTTGGGGGCTGGGATCATTTGAAGTCTTGCACTCTCACATGTCTGGGAGTTGAGGCTGGCAATTGGCTGGGAACTATCAATTGTGGCCATTTCACATGGCGGCTTGGGCTTCCTCATAACATGGTGGCTGGATTCCTAACATGAATACCATATCTCAAAAGAACAGAGCAGAGGTAGATGGAATTTGTATTACCTATATGAAATCACATAGTGTCATTTCCTCTGTACTCTTTTGACTGAGGCAGTCACAAGGTCTGCCCAGTTTCCAGGGGAGGGGACTAGACCACCCCACCCCCCACCCCCTCAAACCCCCAGCCTCCGGGTGAGAGGAATGTCAACATCGCACTGCAGGAAGATTATGTTGCGGGAGATCTTTTGAGGTGGCTGTCTTTGGAAAATATAATCTACCACTGGTTCCTAAGCCCCACCCCTGGAGAGTCACTTCCACAGATCTTTAATGAATCCTCAGAATTGTATTTTTGACATGCACAGGTGTTTTCAATGCACATCCAGGATGGCACATTCGTCCTTGGTCCAAGACTGCTTGCTGGCCTCTCACTCCTGAGCTTGGGGAGAGATTGGCTGCTACCCTAGGTGGTGATGTGATCAAGAAGCATTTGAAGGGAAACCAGCCTAAGGCCAACAGGTAGGACCTGGGGAGTCTGAGGCCTGATGTCTGTCCAAGGTTGGTGGTGGTGTTGAACTGCCCTTGTTAAAGGGTCCTTTTGGGGGCTGGTGTATCTGAGTAGCTTTGTTTTCTCCCAGCCCTTCATGTGTCTCCTGAGCATTTCCTGGCAAGCAGACAGCAGTCACCAGGCTGCTGCAGGTGGGGTGTGGACAGCATGATTGTGGCTCTCCATGCTGAGAGTTTGAACGCCCTTCTCACAGGGCTCACTGCCATTTGATGTTTTCCCTCACAGCTGTACTTGAGGCCCAGTTTTTTAGACCGATTGAACCCAAAGAGTATTGGAGCACCCAGTATTAAAGGGGCTGTCCCATGCCCCAAGAGCCATCTGGGGAGGCATGCACTGGGAGGCCCAGGACTTGGGTCTCAGCCCCAGTTCTGTCACAGTGTTGCTCTTTGACACAAAGTAGATCATAGCTCAACTCAGAGCTAAAGTGTTCTTAATAGTCAAGCGTGTGCATAGCCTCAGCTCCCATTCTCTTGAACAAACTGACTGCCAAAGAGGGGTACTCTCCTTCAACAGAAGGCCTGCCTTGGCTCCCCATTGCCCATAGTCCTGTGCCCTACTTACCCTTTGGGGTTATGTACCATGGGTCCTACACATTGCTGCAGCCTTGCCATCCCTTCCTGAACTTGCCAGGCCCTTTCACCTATATGGGCCTTTGCATATGCTGTTCCTCTACTTGGAATGCCTTCTCTTGCTTTCACCACCTGGCCACGCCCCAGATTTGGCTTTGCTCACCTCCTCCATGAAGCCTACCCCAGCCCTCCACCCCAGCTGCTTGCTGTGCTGAAGTCTTCTACATCAGGAGCCGCAGCCAGGGCTCTCAGTTTGGGTGGTTTAGCAGACTAGTGGAGGCTTTGGAGTCAGGCAGTCCGGATTTCAACCCAGTGCTGCTCCTACTTGCTGTGTGACCTCTCAGGGGAATCGCTTCACATCTCTAAGCCTGTTTTCTCATCTCTGAATCAGGGCTCGTGATCACTAAACAGAATTCTAATGCTATTAAGGACATCAGAGACAGAAGCAGAGAATCTAATGAGAGAGATCGTGGGGAGGTCTGAGTGTGCAGAGCCCACAGCTGCCTTTGCTTTTATTAAAGAATGGGAGGTGGGAACTGATGGAGCGGGAGGGAGGAGCCATCAACTCCTCTGCGCCATCATAAGGGCAAGAGCCAGGCTTAGAGTAGGTGCTGATATCCAGAGTAGAAACCCCTGAAAGAGGGAATGAATGATTGAATAAATGAAGGCAGCTGGTTTCTGAACGTGGCTGTAGCCATTTGACAGACTTGGTGCGCAGCGGCTGGGGAGAGCCCCGCCCCCAGGCCGAAAGCCCGTGCGTCTCCTAGCAACAGCCATAAGCAGCTGAGCTGCTGGGCCGGCGGCCCTCCCTGCACCCGCCGACGCTCCTCGAGGTCTTGGAGTTTCTTCGCCGAGGTGGCTGTGGATCCGGTACGGGAGTTGCCACCGCGGTCCGAGTCCCCGCTGCCACCCTGCGCATCCGTTTGCAGGTACCGCCGGCACCTGGAGGGGAACCCCGACCCCTGCCCCCACTTCGGCCGCCGCAGCCCGGGATCCTTCCCGCCTTGTCTCGACGCGCTCTCCCTCCTCGGCGTTAGCCCGGCGTTCCGCCTCCGTGGGCCCTGAGCTGATGCCCCGAGCCCAGCACCCAGTGCACATTCATGTTCTGTCTGGGGGGCAGGGCTTGCCCTCCTCGACCTCGCCAGGCTCCCGCATGTGCTGCCCCTGCCTGGTTTGCCTCTCCCCAAATAGCAAACGCATCCTGTGCTTTGGTGCAGCAGTCCTGCCTGAGCAGACGTCCCCTCTCCCGCCAGGTGGCTCCCGGGAGCTACTCACCTGGGGCAGGCATTCCAGAAGCCCGGCGACTGACTCCTTGTTAGGCGAAGGAGATGGGGTTGCTCGTCGTCGGGCTTACTGCCAGCCACCCTTCTCTGTGGTTCCTTCATCCGTTCATTCTCTAATTCCGTTGAGTATCGACTGTGTGCCAGGCAGTGATGGAGCCCCGGCCTTCACCCAGGAGCAGGCGAGGGAAGCGGGGAAGAGAAGGGTGGGTGCTCCTGCAGAAGGCCGGGCTGACCTCCTGGAGCAGCTCTGGAATACAGGCGGGGACAGCCTTCACTTTCTCCCTGCCAGGAGCGCCGGCACCCAGTGGAGCGCTGTGCAGCATGTCGCTGCATGCGTGGGAATGGGAGGAGTACCCCGCAAGCATAGAGCCCATCACCTCCATCACCAGCTTTTACCAGTTCACGAGCGAGTGTGACGTGGAGGAGCACCTGAAAGCCCAGGCCAGGGCCCAAGAGTCCGACTCTGACCGCCAATGCAACAGCATCGCGTCCTCCTCGGAGCCTGCCAGCACCTTCAGCTCCGACGTGCCCCACGTGGTCCCCTGCAAATTTTCCATCTCACTGGCCTTTCCTGTGAATATGGGTAGGTGCTAGAGCAAAACTGTAACACCCTCTGAAAAAAGGGGGTGCACGAATGAGTTTCTGCAGGAGTTGAGGGAGCATTTGCCCCACAACTTCTCTCCACCTGCCCCACCCCCATACGGGCTGGCCAGTGCCAGCCAGGAGCAGAGGTTGAAAAGAAACAGCAATTTTAGAGGGCTCAACTGTGGTTGCATGAACTTCTCATACTTAATCCTCTCAACAAACCTAAGAAATAAGTGATGTTCTGTCTGCTTTTTACTGGGGGAGGGGGGAACCTTGGAGTGGTTAAGGCATTGATTCCCATAAGCTCTTGTGCCTCACCTAATACCTTGTTTAAAATACATTTTCCTAGAGGCTGAGGCAGGAGAATCGCTTGAACCCGGGAGGTGGAGATTGCAGTGAGCTGAGATCGCACCATTGCACTCCAGCCTGGGCAACAAGAGCAAAACTCCATCTCCAAAAAAAAAAAAAAAAAAATTATCTGATCTGTTAAATCAACATCTCTGAGTGTAAAGGTGTATCAGTTATTGCCACAAAAATGTAGTGCAGCAAACCTAAACCAGTTCCCAAGCTCCAAGTTCAGTGACTGCAAACAGGAACCCTCGGTTCTCCTGGATGTCCTGGGTGCTGGTGTAGGCTGTATTTTGTGATGGCTCAGCTCTGCTTCAGGCTGCTGCCCCTCCTGGACTGAAGAGCAAAAGAGTCTGGAGTGGGCTAGCCTAGACACCTTCTTGTTCTAGAAACACAGACACACACAAGAGGGCAAACTCATCCCCACAAACACTCGAGTCTTTGTCTCCCACCTGCTAGCATGTTACTGGCCAAAACACTCGCATGCTTTCAGCCCATCGTGGGGGGCGGAGGCAAGGAGTACTTAACCTGTTGATAGACCTTAGCTTTGTTTTCATCTGCCTGCTTGAACTAGCCCACCATGATTTCAGCTTCTCCTGGTATTCTGCTGATGGTTGCTTCAGATGTTCTGGAGGCCATCTGGTTAGGTGCACAGCATGTTTAGAGCCGCTCCATCTTCTTGGTGAATTGAACTTTTTGTCATTTTGTAGTGACCGTTCCTCCATTCCTGTCCAAAATGATGCCTTTACTCTTGGGTCTATTGCTATAAAGCAAAAGAGCCTGGGAAAAGACATCTGGCAAATATCAACTAAGAGAAAATTGGCAGTTATCTTCTTTAGCCCTCATCTCATTTGCAGCATTTTCTCCTTTTTTTATTTTTTTTTTTTTTTTTTTGAGGTGGTGTTTTGCTCGAGACGGAGTTTCGCTCTTGTTACCCAGGCTGGAGTGCAATGGCACGATCTCGGCTCACCGCAACCTCCGCCTCCTGGGTTCAGGCAATTCTCCTGCCTCAGCCTCCTGAGTAGCTGGGATTACAGGCACGTGCCACCATGCCCAGATAATTTTTTGTATTTTTAGTAGAGACGGGGTTTCACCATGTTGACCAGGATGATCTCGATCTCTTGACCTCGTGATCCACCCGCCTCGGCCTCCCAAAGTGCTGGGATTACAGGCTTGAGCCACCGCGCCCGGCTCATTTGCAGCATTTTCTAAGCGTATTTTTTCTCTTTTGGTTGTCCTCTAAAGGCACTTATAAAATGGATCTCTGTGGGGCAAAACTTCATGAGATCTTGTGTACATAAGAGTATTTTTTATCATGGCAATCCTTTGACATACCTTTGGCTGGATATGAAATTCTAGTCTCATTGCTTTTTTCCTTTAATACCTGAGTATAGCTCAGTACATAAACATTTCTTTATACAAATTGTTTATTTTCCAATAAGTGAATTTGCTGGGTTGAAGGCATGAGTTTATAGTTTTTGATAGATATTGTCAACTTGCTCTTTAAAAGGACTGAGTAATTTGCCTTCCTGTCTTCAGAAAAAGAGAGGCTCTGTCCACTTGCTGGCCACCTGGGATTGAATCAGAAAAGGTCTAATGCTACCAGAGACTGGAAGGAGAAGCTTGACTCCAGTCTCTGCACAAATGCTAACTATTCTAGTAGCAGAAAATTAATGCTGCAGCAGCCTCCTGGCTTAAAAACTTAGACTTTAAAAGCTACAGCTTTTAGTCCTGTTGTTACAGAATGATATTTGGATTAAATGTTTGTGGAGCTCCTAACACACCTTCTTATGACGTGAAAAGCCCCAGCCTAGAGTGTGGAGTTTAAGCTGGAGTGTAAGCAACCAGGGGTGTTAGGGGTGCTCCTTGGGCTCTGGCCTCTGGCAGAAGCCCAGCTGTATCTTCCACATTCTGTCACCCTATGCACCCCACATTGGGTAATTATGTTTTTGCTAAGCTGTTTTCTCTGTCTGGAATATCTGCCAGCTTTGCTCCTCTAAGACGCCGCTAAGGTCCCCCTGGGGGGCCCACCCCACCCTCCCCAGGCAGAGTTCGCTCCTCCACCTTTGTTCTTCACAGCCTGTTCCCGCTGCTATTATTGCACAAATTACATTCTACTGTGACTTTTCTTTTTACCTGCTTCTTAGGGCCAGGAGGAGCCAGGGTGAGGCAAGTAAGGCATCTCTCCTAATATCATCTGGCCTGGCCATCTGATTTCACTTTAACTCTATCACCCTTTTAGCCCTAGGCCTACTAACCAACACAGCCTCGGACTGAGACACTCACTATCAAAACCGTGCACTTAAATTTTGCACTTGGGTGCCCAGTCTAGGTCCTGCTACCCTGCTACCCAGTGGGGAGCACTGGACCTGTACCTCCTTCCCCAAGCCAGGCAGGCAGTGTGGGGTATGCAGCCTCTCACAGCATCAAGTTCCAGGGAACTGGGGAGACAGGCCTGCTTTTCCATATGAGGTTAAAATGAGACTTCTTCAATCTGTATCTTCTAGGTCATAAGGGAAAATATGCAAGTTTGATTGAAAAATATAAGAAACACCCTAAAACGGACAGCTCTGTTGCAAAGATGCGTCATTTTTACCACATTGAGTATTTCCTTCTGCCGGATGATGAAGAACCTAAAAAAGTTGACATATTGCTATTTCCAATGGTGGCCAAAGTGTTCCTGGAGTCAGGAATAAAGGTGCGTGTGTGAGTGTGTGTAGCCTTGTGTGTGGGCTAATGCTCATCATGAAAAGTGTGCCGCCTCATGGACGTGTGACATCAGCTCCACCACCAGCTGGCTAGCGTTGGAAGATCCTGGGCCCCACCTCCTGAGAGGAATCTGCACTCACCTGATCATTCCAATTACTTTTTTTTTTTTTTTTTTTTTTTTTTTTTTTGAGTCAGAGTCTTGCTCTCTTGTCCAGGCTGGAGTGCAGTGGCACGATCTTTGCTCACTGCAACCTCAGCCTCCCAGTTCAAGCAATTCTGATGCCTCAGGCACCTGAGTAACTCGAATTACAGGCATGAGCCACCATGCCCAGCTAGTTTTTGTGTTTTTAGATGAGACAGAATTTCACTATGTTGGCCAGGCTGGTTTTGAACTCCTGACCTCAAGTGATTTGCCTGCGTTGGCCTCCCTAATTGCCAGCATTACAGGCGTGAGCCACCATGCCTGGCCTATTTTTTATTTAGATATTTTGCCCAGTAATTTCCGGGGTGTTTCAAAAGTTTTTGTAGTTCATGAGATTTCCTTTTTTCTGTGTGTATGCATGCATGTGTGTGTGTGTGTGCGCGCACACGTACACACTACCTGCACACACACACTCCTGCCAGTGGTTTTGCTCCGGGTCATTGCTTGGAAGCAATCGAGGAGGATGCTATTTACTGACAATTACTTTGATTTTATTTTTCCTGAGGAACACAGAAGTCTGATGGGACCCAGTACACAATGCCCCATTTCCCCTGAGCTCAGAGCCTGGAGAGTGACCAGGCACCAAAGTCAGGCAGCACTGCCGCTGAGGGCCAGGGCTGGAGCTGGGGGCTGCCACTGAGGGCCTGAGCTGGGGCTAGCTCTGTTCACCATGACCTTCACAGGTCTTTCCCCAGTTGACATCTCTGAATGTTGTTTTACACAGACCGTGAAGCCGTGGCATGAAGGTGACAAAGCCTGGGTGTCATGGGAGCAGACTTTTAATATCAGCGTGACAAAGAAATTATTAAAGAAAATAAATTTCCACAAAATCACCTTGAGCCTTTGGAACATTAAGGACAAGGTGTCAAGAAAAGCCAGATATTACCGATTGAAGACTGCCGGTCTCTCAGACGACGTGGGAGCTTTTCATAAGTCAGGTGCTCTGGTTTTATTTGAAATGGTTCTGGAAGCCTAGGGCTTACTCACTAGTAACAGCATAAAAGCCAGTGTCTCCTGGTTTCCTTCCTCTAATTGGCATGTGCACACACGGTTTCTGGATCTGTGGCAGGGCATTCCACTAGGTCGTGCTGTGGTGATAGGAAGGGCCACCACGGGCAGTGATGGTGTGGTGGGCAGTGTTCCTGCAACTCCACCTTTTGGGCCGTTTTATTTTAGGGCAGCTTTGACTCGGGCACTCACCACCTGCCGGGACTAGTATTATATGTTTACTAAAAAAAAAAAAAAAAAATTAGAGGATGCCAAGAAACAAAAGAGAAAACTTAAAAATCCTACCACCCCAAGGTAGTCATCTTAACATTTTCATGTAGACCTTTCCAGACTCATTTGTATAAATATTATGTCAATATCAAAGATTTTTTTTGTTTTTGAGACAAAGTCTCGCTCCATCATCCAGGCCGGAGTGCAATGATGTAATCTTGGCTCACTGCAGCCTCTGCCTCCCTGCTTCAAGTGATTCTCCTGCCTCAGCCTCCCAAGCAGCTAGGACTACAGCCATGTGCCACCACGCCCAGCTAATTTTTGTATTTTTAGTAGAGTTGGAGGGCCATGTTGGTCAGGCTGGTCTCGAACTGCTGACCTCAGGTGATCCACCCGCCTTGGCCTCTTAAAGTACAGTACTGGGATCACAGGTGTGAGCCACTGTGCTGGGCCAATGTCAGAAAGTCTTTTGAACTCCCTTGAAGGAGAGGACCAGGAGGGGTGGAAAGATCCAGGCTTTGAAGCCAGACAGTGGAATTCAGTCCTGTCTCCGTCTTGTACTTCCTGTTGACCTGGGCATATTCCTGAACATACGTTTCTCATCTGTAAAAAAGGAAAAACAACTAGTACCTGCTTCTCTGGGAATACTGGAGGCAGGGTGACGGGAGCGGTCCACCTGGGTACAGGCAATAGGGAAGCTATGCATTGTCCACAGAAAAGTTAAGAACTGTGGCTGAGTGCAGTGGCTTACACCTGTAATCCAGCACTTTGGGAGGCTGAGGCGGGTGGATCATGAGGTCAAGAGATCGAGATCACCCTGGCCAACATGGTGAAACCCCATTTCTACTAAAAACAGAAAAATTAGCTGGGCATGGTGGTGCATGCCTGTAGTCCCAGGTTCTCCAGAGACTGAGGCAGGAGAATTGCTTGAACCCAGGAGGCAGAGGTTGCAGTGAGCCTTGATCGCACCACTGCACTCCAGCCTGGCAACAAAGTGAGACTCTGTCTCAATTTTTTTTTTTTTTTTTTTAAGAACTGTAATTAAATGCTACCAATTAAACTATGGCATGGCATTAATTGTAAGATGCCTTCTGATGCTTAGAGATGTTAAAAATAAAAGCAGGTATAGCAGTTCATGCCTGTAATCCCAGCACTTTGGGAGCCTGAGGCAGGACTTTGAGACCAGCCTAGGTAATGTGGCAAGTCTCTGTCTCTATAAAAAAATTTAAAAATCAGCCCAGCATGGTGATGCGCACCTGTAATTCTAGCTACTTGGAAGGCTGAGGTGGGAGGATTGCTTAAGCCTGGGAGGTTGAGATTTCCGTAAGTTGTGTTTGTTTGACCACACACCAGCCTGGGTGACAGAGCAAAACCTTGTCTCATAAAAAAAAAAAAAAAAAAAAGCAAAACAGATGTACGTATTAGAATCAATGATTCTAATGATGTATAGTGCTATTGTCAGCGCCTTCCAGATGAGTGTAATTATCCTCACTTTTGTGTGGCTGGAAAGCCTTGCCTTTCTCTGATTTTCCAGCCTGCCTTCTCAGGGAGCCTTTCTGACCTTGGAGGCTTGGAACTTCCCATATTTAATCTTTCATTTATGTTCAGGGTTTTTTTACTCTTGATACTATTGACATTTTGCGTCAGATAAATTCCTTGCTGTGGGGGCTGTTCTGTGGATTGCCAGGTGTTTTGCAGCGTCTCTGGCCTCTGCTAGCTGCCAATAGTAGCCTGCCAGTTGTGACAATCAGAGTTCTTCAGACATTGCCAGATGTCCCCTGGGGGTCAAAATCGCCCCTGGCTGAGAAACACTGGTATATACCTGCATTACAAGTTGTAGACTTCCAGCTTGAGAAAACGGGACTCAAGGTAATTTTTCTCGCCTGGACCAAAGGAAAGAACCACATCCTCAAAGTGTGAGCGTTGGTCTGCCTGCATCAGATGCTTACCTGCAGATTCCAGGCCTGATTCAGAGCTGCTGAGCCAGACTTTCTGGTCAGTATCTGCCCTGCAGTGAGCTCTCATTGGGTTGGGTGCTGAGGTGGGAGTATCGGGAAGGATTCCTGGAGGAAGGCCCACAGTGGCAAAGAGATGGGTAAAGGGAATTTGGTGGCCAGAAAAGAAGGAAGGAAGGAAGGGTGTTCTAGGGCCTCCAGGGAGAGCCCTCAAGCCTCTTGTTCTGAGTATTCTTATTGATTGATTGAGACAGGCTCTCACCTGTTGCACAGGTTGGAGTGCAATGATGTGATCATAGCTCACTACAGTTTTCAGCTCCTGAGCCCAAGTGATTCCTCCTGCCACAGCCTCCTGAGTAGCTGGGACCACAGGTGCCACTATACCTGGTTAATTTTTAGATTTTATCTTGCGTAGACATTGGGTCTTACTATGTTGCCCAGGCTGGTCTCTAACTCCTGGTGTCAAGCAACCCTCCTGCCTTGGACTCCTAAAGTACTGGGATCGCAAGTGTCAGCCACTATGCCTAGCACCGTGAAATGTTGAAATGACAGCACCTGCTCCCTCTTGAACCCTGTCCCAAGCTTAGCATCACTGCTTCTTATTTAAAGAAGTTTTTCTCATTGAAAAAGCAGTGCAAATTCACTTTATAGAGCAATTTAGCAAAAAAGAGAAGAAATTAAAACCTCATGATTTCTGTCCAGAGAGAGCCATTGTTAACCTTTTTTTTTTTTTTTTTTTTTTTTTTTTTGAGACAGAGTTTCGCTCTTGTTACCCAGGCTGGAGTGCAATGGCGCGATCTTGGCTCACCGAAACCTCCGCCTCCTGGGTTCAGGCAATTCTCCTGCCTCAGCCTCCTGAGTAGCTGGGATTACAGGCACACGCCACCATGCCCAGCTGTTTTGTATTTTTAGTAGAGACGGGGTTTCACCATGTTGACCAGGATGGTCTCGATCTCTTGACCTCGTGATCCACCCGCCTCGGCCTCCCAAAGTGCTGGGATTACAGGCTTGAGCCACTGCGCCAGGCTGTTAACATTTTTTCTGTGAATGTAGTGTACATGTTGTCTTAAGTCCTGCCTTTTCTCCTTAAAAAGATTTCTTACAGAAACTCTTGTTTCTTGGGAGTGCAAGAAACACTAAGAATTCTGTCTCATGTTATGAAGGAGGTAGGATGCTTCCTGGATGCCTGGTGGTAGGTCACAATGCCAGAACTTGGTAGCTTTTAGCCTGCTGGTCTTGAAGGACACATCCCAACCCATGTCTATACTAGTCAGGGTTCTGTGGAGGGAAGGACTAATAGGATAGATGTATGTATGAAAGGGAGTTTGTTAAGGAGTTCACTTGATCACAAGGTAAAGTCCCACAATAGGCCGTCTGCAAGCTCAGGAGCCAGGAAGCAAATCTGAGTCCCAAAATGTTAAAAATAGGGAAGCCTACGGTGCAGCCTTCAGCCTGTGGCAGAAGGCCTGAGAGCCTTCTGGCAAGCCACCGGTGCAGGTCCAAGAGTCCAAAAGCTGAAGAACTTGGCGTCTGATGTTTGAGGGCAGGAAGCATCCAGCACTGGAGAAATATGAAAGCCGGAAGTCTCAGGAAGTCAGCTCCTTCCATGTTCTTCTGCTTGCTTTCTTCTAGCCGAGTGCTGGCAGCTGATTAAATGGTGCCCACCCAGACTGAGGGTGGGTCTGCCTCTCCTAAACCACTGATTCAAATGTTAACCTCCTTTGGCAACACCCTCGCCAACATACCCAGGATCAATACTTTGCATTCCCTCAATCCAATCAAGCTGACACTCAGTATTAACCATCACACTCAGCATTTCTCTTCCCTTCAATCTGCTCATCTGCTTGATTTCTAAGGACTGGTTGAAGACAGCATTCTTCTCAAAGCCCCCAGTCCTATTTAACTCCTCCTTTGCCCTCAATTCTCAACACCTCCACCCAGGTCCCAGGAGGTTTCCTCCACCTGTTCTTGGGAGAGCTCTCTGCCCAGCTGTCTTCTCCCTCCTGCCCTCTGGCTTTCTCTGCACCCAGGTTTGTTTGCCCTCCTCTCCTGCCACTGTGGCCTTGGTGCTGCCTTGCTCTGCAGCTGTTCATGGCTGCCCCAGGGCCTTTAGGGAACCAAGTGTAGACTTTGAGCCTGGGCTTGAAGGCATTTTACAATCTGCTTCCAAGGCTCCTTCTCACTGCCACTGCCCCTTCATACCACAGCCCACGTCCTGGTCCCTGAAGACATGTGGATCTCCCTTGTGGTAAGGCCTGCCTCCAGCCAGCTGGGCGTTCCTCCATGGCTCTCAGCCTCATCTCTTTCTCCAAAAATGTTATCTATCATTCAACACTGAATCCAATTTCACCTCTTTTTTTTCTACTTCTTTCTTGTAGCATCTTTCATCTCCGTTTGTTAATTCACTTCCTCCATTCATTCATTCATTATCCTGCCCATTCTTGGTGGCTGCCATATGCATGCGAGGCCTCTAGGGATAGAAATGAAGGGCGTTGAGGAGCTGACACCCTAGCTGGGGACAGGGCACTCTGGCTGCAGTCCTGGTTTTGTTAAGGACAAGCTCTCTGACCACAGGAAAGTCGCTTCAGTGTCATATCTTAACCCTTGAGGTGGGGGAATACTCCTGCCCTCAAAGTGGAATTCGAGGAGCCAGTGAGTCAGTGCATGTCTGGGCTCAATGCTCGCATTTGGAGGATGCCGCTGGCTGAGGTCTGAGAACCTCAACGCGTGTGCCTATCCCAGACATGTGTGCTTATTGTTTTGAGTTTCCTGGAATTTGGAGGCAGCTTCCTAAGCAGCATCTCCAGGAGAATACGGACCTTATCTACTGCTTCATCTTCTTCAGAGGAAGGTGACTGTCACTACAGGTATACCTTGATTTATTGTGCTTCGCTTTATTGGGCTTCACAGAGATCATGTTTTTCCAGATTGGAGGTTTGTGGCAACCCTGTGTCAAGCAAGTCTATTGGCGCCATTTTTTCAACCTTTGCTCACTTTGTCTCTGTCACATTTTGGTAATTAATTCTTGTGGTTTTTCAAACTTATTATATTTGCTTTGGTGATCTATGATCTGTGATCTTTGATATCACTATTGCAAATGTTTGGAGGTGCCACAAACTGCACGTGTGTGAAATGGTGAACTTAACTGATAAATGCTGTGTGTGTTCTGACTCCAGAACACAGGGCTCCAGTGACCAGCCATTCTCCCATCTCTCTCTCCCTCTCCTCAGGCCTCCCTATTCCGAGGCACAATACCGAAATTAGGCCAATTAATAACTCTACAATGACCTCCAAAGTGTTCAAGTGAAAGGAAGCATCGCACATCTCTCCCTTTAAGTCAAAAGCTAGAAATGGTTAAGCTTAGTGAGGAAGCCACATCAAAAGCCTAGGTAGGCTGAAAGCTAGGCTTCTTGTGCCAAACAGTTAGCCAAGTTGAGAATGCAAGGGAAAAGTTCTAGAAGGAAGTTAAACATGCTGCTTCAGTGAATGCAGCAATGATAAAGAGAAACAGTCTTATAGCTGACACAGAGGAAGTTTTAATGGTCTGGCTAGAAATCAAACCAGCCACATAAGCTGAGGCCTAATTCAGAGCAAGGCCCTAACTTTCCTCAGTTCTATAAAGGCTGAGAGAGGTGAGGACACTGCAAAAGAAAAGTTTGAAGCTGGCAGAGACTGGTTGATGAGGTTTCAGGAAAGAAGCCATCTCCAGAACAGAAAAGTGTAAGGTAAAGCAGCAAGTTATTTAGGAGATTTAGCTAAGATCACTGATGAAGGTGACGACACTAAGCCACAGATTTTCAGAGTAGATGAGACAGCCTTCTATTGGAAGAAGTTACCATGTAGGACTTTCATAGCTAGAGAGGAGACATCAATGCCTGGCTTCAAAGGACAGGCTGACTCTCTTGTTAGGGGCAGTGTAGCTGGTGACTTAAAGTGGAGACGAGTGCTCATTGACCATTCCCACAACCCTAGAGCCCTTAAGAATAGTGCTAAATCTATTCTGCCTGAGTTTTCTAAATGTAATAACAAAGCCTGCATGACAGCACATCTGTTTACAGCATGGTTTACTGAATATTTAAAGCCAACTATTGAGACCTACTGCTTAGAAAAAAGACTCCTTTCCAATATGACTGCTCATCGATAATGCACCTGGTCACTTAAGGTCTCTGATGGAGGTGTACAAAGAGATGACTTTTGTTTCAACAACCATGCTGCAGCCTATGGATCAAGGAGTAATTTTGACTTTCAAGTCTTATTATTTAAAAAACACATTTCATAAAGCCATAGCTGCCATAGATAGTGATTCTTTTGATTGATATGGGCAAAGTAAATTGAAAACCTTCTGGAAGGCCCAGGCACAGTGGTTCATGCCTGTAATCCCAGCACTTTGGGAGGCTGAGGCGGGTGGATCACCTGAGGCCAGGAGTTTGAGACCAGCCTGGCCAACATGGCAAAACCCCGACTCTACTAAAAATACAAAAAATAGCCAGGCGTGGTGGTGGGCACCTGTAATCCCAGCTGCTCGGGAGGCTGAGGAAAGAGAATTGCTTGAACCCATGGGGCAGGAGTTGCAGTGAGCTGAGATCATGCCATTGCACTCCAATCTGGGTGACAGAGTGAGACTCCATCTCAAACAACAAAACCTTCTGGAAAGGATTCACCATTCTACATGCTTTTAAAATATCTGTGACTCATGGGAGGAGGTAAAAATATCAACACTAATAAGAATTGGAAAAAGTTGATTCCAACCTTCATGGATGACTGAGGGGTTCAAGACCAGTGGAGCAAGTCACTGCAGATGTAGTGGAAAGAGCAAGAGAGCTAGAATTAGAAGTGGAGCCTGAGGATGTGACTGAATTGCTGCAGCCTCAGCAAATTTGAACAGATGAGGAGTTTCTTCTTATGGATGAGGAAAGTGGTTTCTTGAGATGAGATAGAATCTACTTCTGGTGAAGAGGCTGTGAACATTGTTGAAATGACAACAGAGGATTTCGAATAGTACACAAATTTAGTTGATAAAGGAGGAGCAGAGTTTGAGAGGATTGACTCCAATTTTGAAAGCAGTTCTACTGCGGGCAAAATACTATGAAACAGCCTCATATGCTGCAGGAAAACCTTTCATGAAAGGAAGAGTCGATCAATGCAGCCAACTTCATGGTGAGGTGAACCCAGCCCTCAGCACCCGCCCCCCTAATCACCGAGCAGCCGCCAACATCGAGGCAAGACCCCCACAGCAAAAAGATGATTACCCGAAGGCTCAAATGATTGTTAACTTTTTTTTTTTTTTTTTTTTTGAGATAGGGTCTCGCTCTGTCCCCCAGGCAGCAGTGCAAGAGGGTGATCATGGCTCACTGCAGCCCCCACCTCCCAGACTCAAGCACCCTCCCACCTCAGCCTTGAAAGCAGCTGGAATTACAGGTGCATGCCACCATGCCCAGCTATTTTTTCTTTTTTGTAGAAACAATGTTTCACTATGTTGCCTAGGCTTGTCTTGAACTCCTGGCCTCGAGTGATCCTCTCACCTCAGCCTCCCACAGTACAGAAATTACAGGCAGAAGCCACTGTGCCCAGCTTGTAACATCTTTTAGCAATAAAGTATTTTTTTCTCTCTTTTCCTTCCTTCCTTTTCTCCCTCCTTCCCTTCCTTCCTTCCTTCTTTTTCTCTCTTTTTTATGAAGAGACAGAGCCTCTTTCTGTTACCCAGGCTGGAATGCAGTGGTGCAGTCACAGCTCCGTGCAGCTTCAAACTCTTGGGCTCAAGCAGTCTCCCAGGTCAGCCTCTCAAAGTGCTGGGGTTACAGGCATGAGCCACTGTACCTGGCCCAATAAAGCATTTTTTAAACTAAGGTATGTACTTTTTTTTTAAAGATATAATGCTGTTGCACACTTAATATAAGACTACAGTATGGTATAAACATAATTTATATGCACTGGGAAAATTATGTGTGACTCACTTTATTGTGATACTTATTTTAGTGTAGTCAAACTAAATCCACAATATCTCCAAGAAATGCCTGTAGTATTGGTCACTGCCAATCAAAAAGAAAGAAAGAAATGCCCGTAGTAGATATTCAATAAGTATTTTGGATTGATTGACTCAATGATTCTTTCTTCTCCTGCATTCTAGATGTGAGACATTTGGTTTTAAATCAGAGAAAATTATCTGAACAGGGCATTGAGAATGGCAACATTGTCAGAGAGGAGTGGAACCAGGAACATCCACGAGGAAAACAAGAAAAAGCAGAAAAACACCCGAAGTCTTTGCAAGGTGAGCAGAGAAGGTCTTTGTGGAGAAGCTGAGTGCAAGGCAGCGCAGGGAAGGCTGTTGAATGGTGCGCTGGGGCGGTGCGTGTGCACGGGAGTCCCTCCTGTGTGTTGGCAGTGGAGGCGGTGGGGCTCACCCTGCCACACGGCTGCACTGCTCTTGCTGCATGGCTTAGTTTTTGTTGCTGATTCTTTTATTTTTAAATTTAATGTATGTGTGTGTGTCCAAAAATTTTCTTTTCTTTTTTTGAGACACAGTTTTGCTCTTGTCTCCCAGGCTGGAGTGCAATGGCACGATCTTGGCTCACTGCAACATCCACCTCCCAGGTGGAAGCGATTCTCCTGCCTCAGCCTCCCAAGTAGCTAGGATTACAGGTGCCCACCACCACACCCAGCTGATTTTTGTTTTTGTTTTTGTTTTGTTTTGTTTTTTGAAGTGAAATGTTTCACATATTTATTACTGAACCGAGGCAAACAAAGCCTTCTTTTTTTTTTTTTTTTTTTTTTTTTTTTTTTTTTTTTTTTT